CTTTCTTCGCAGATATCTGTGAACACACTTTTTATCAGTGTCTCTCCAAGTGAGGTCCACCTGCCATCTTAATATTACCATTACCCTCATGACTCGTCAAAATGCATATGACCAGGCCCAGCCACAGGTAAAACACTGCTGCTTTGCGGGCTCAGGCCTCGTGTGAGGCCCAGATTTGATTCCTAAAAGCTGGGTGCAATGTGATGTACCTATAGTCCAGCTATTCCGAAAGCTGAGGCAGGAGGACTGCGACATTGCATGATCTTGTCTTTAAAAGCAAAAGGGAGGATGCATAGTGGTTTGAGGCACTAGACTCCCACATGGCTGACTGCAGTTCAAGTCCCAGACCTGGAGGCTTGCTTTCTCATTTTTCTTTTCTCTCTCTCTTTCTCATGAGTGTACATGTCCTGTAGCAAATTGAAAATAATACTAATAATAAATTAGATAAAAATAATTCTTTTTAAAAAGGGGGGGAGCATATTTTTGAGCCTCACCCAGAGGTACTAAATCAGACCCTCTGAGGGTGGACCTCTGAGGGTAGGCATTTTGAACAAACACCCTATGTCCAAATTTAGAATCCACACTATCTTACATCTGTGATTTGTATTTTAGAACCAGATTACATGTTCTTGAGTTATTTATAATTAGCTAAAATGTCCACATACCAGTTCACAGAGCCAAGCAAACAACTCAAAATCCTAGATAGGAAAATAAAATGCCTTATTTGCAGCACCTGAGAAAAGCCATGAAGGGTTTTGTTGACCCCAAACTCAGTGAATCAGTAGTGTGAAGTGGTTAGCATGAAAGTTCATTCTAATGTTGCCAGACATTGGATAAAAGTAGAGTAGATGGAACAAAAGATTACCCCATTCCACATCAGAGCACACATACTTTGCAGTGCACTGCTCAGTTTTAGGGCCCACACCTTAAAAGAGACCTGGGCAAATTGGCACATGTTCAGAGGAAGGTACTAAGTACATTGGTGAGAGGCACACAGCTAGGTGGAACCAATGTTCAGGAGAAACCAATGTTTGTCAAAGGAGTCGCTGGCCAGAAGCCATCAGAGGATTTCTGGTAATTCCAAGACAGAACTGATGAGACTTGGTACAGACTTTCTGTTGTTTTTTTTCCTATATTGAGAATCAAATGATGATTTTGCATTCAGCATGGGAAATTTGTAAGTTAATCATAATAACTTGGTCATGTAACTATAATATAGCTCTAGCAAGTCATTCAGGTCTGCTCCAGAATCATATTCTTAAGATGAACTCTCATGATTATGAAGGAAAAGGGATAAAAGGACAGTGAGTTTGTTATTGTCTATGAAAAATTCCTTTCAAAGTTCTATGTAAGAAACATCTGCTTGGTAAAACACATGCCTGCCTGGTGTCTAATGTGTTTATGTTTTTCATGTCCATAGGACGGAGGCACCGCCCTGTTAGCTGCCAGCCAGTATGGGCACATGCAGGTGGTAGAGACCTTGCTGAAGCACGGAGCCAACATCCATGACCAACTTTATGTGAGTACATTTCAAGGGGATGTTAAGTGGATATTTACTCCTTCATTTATCACACAATATGGTGGTCTAAATTCAGATGCCAGAAATGCCAGTTTAAAAAACCTTAATGAATAGGGCAGTGGGACTTTACTCTGAGACAACAAGGAAAAAAGATATAATTGACAGATGAGTTTTTACTATGTAGAAACCACATGATCTTATCTACCCACCTTTGTTTTCTCTTTTAAATCTATTGTACATACAAGGCATTGTATGTACCTATGTGTTAAGACCTTCAAAAATCTGGTGATACATACTCACATCATAACAAACTACACAGCCCAGCATACTGACTTGCTTAAATCAAGTTAAAGTCTCCCATTGTGGAGTTATTTGTGAAGAAGGTTATAAAGAAGAGAAATCAAGATATTAGAAGAGAAGCAAGGTTGGATGGACGGAGACCTATGAAACGTGTGCACACCATTGACCTTTGAAAGTCTCCCACTGCTAGTCCGGGTCTGTTTGCAGCTAATTGGAAATTAGGACATTACCCAAGGGCTCTTTTCATTGATTGCTACTGTAATTCCATAGGATTTATGGCAAATACTATTCCAGTTTTATAGGAAAAAAATTAAACATGAAGAGATGAAGCAACTTGACATCATCTCCTGGTGGGAAGTGGGAGAATTCCTACTTCCAATGATCTAGGAGCCATATTTTAGGTTATCTACAACTCTACATTGAGCCTTCATGCCTAGGGCACTATCCTTTCATAGACATGTAATGAGCTGTGTAGTTGTGAACTTTTCCATTTGAACACCCTTCCGGAGTACACATGGTTAACTTAGGCAAATCATAGGCCTCATTGAAGTCTATAGCAACAAAGCTTACCCTCAGTACTTCAAACTCTGTAACATACTTTAAGCCTGCAGCATTACCTATACAATGATTTGAATTATGGTGCTCAATAATGTTCTAAAGGAGTGATTCTCAGCTATGGCTGTCCATTAGAATCACCTGGGTAGCTTAAAAGAATACCTGTTCCTGGGCCCACCTGAACACACTAAATTGGAGTCACTGAGAGCAAAACTTGAGCAACAAATAATTCTGACATGTGGCCAAGTGTAAGAAATACAAGTCTAAAGCTTTGGATACTGCTTAGGCCATATATAGGTAAAATATATCTGAGACTGTGTATGAATATAGGTATATGTGGAGACTTCAAAAATTTGTAGAGGGACCATCAGATGGCATAATGGTTACATCGTTGGATTCTCATATAGTCAACTATGGTTCAAGTCCTAAATCCAGGTAGATGTGCATGTGTGCCCAAAATCCCAAGAGGAGAATGGAGAAGAAGGGATTTCAGCACGGCCATCTGTCCTGGGGAGGAGGGTGATTTCTTGCTTCCTATCTCTCTGTCTCTCTATTTCCCATGAGTGCACACACCCTATACCAAAAATGCCTTTTAAAAAAAAAATTGTAGAAAAATTGAATTAAAGTATGAGTTCATTTTGGTATAAAATTTGAAATTCATGCATAGTTTTTTATAATATATGTTTTTCGTGAAGTTTTGGAAGACCTACCCTCACCCCCACATAGATGTAGCTTGAATAGGAAAAGCCAAAGTCTTTGGAAAAGTGAAGTGAATTATGATTTTCTTAGCATTACCATTAAGTCAGCAATCCAAATTAACTGTGGCTGTAGAATTTGTACTCACTAGATAATATTCTCCCATAAGATTCATTGGAGTGTCACATAATCTTAGGAATGTCGAGTTTGAGGGAAGCCCTTTTTCATAATAAATTCCTATTATAAAGTGATTCAAAAACTTCACGCATTATAACTTTCATTTTATGTTAAGGCCTTTAACCTTATCCAAATAGTCCAAATGTTTCCATTGAAACAATTGAAATATGGTTGGGGGTGAGGAGAGAGACCAGAACTGAAACTTGTAATATATAGTAGAAAAGCCAATGTGCAAAGAGTTCATTTCAGAAAACTGCTGAGCAGAGACCAGCAGTTAGCATAATGGCTATGTTGCTGAACTCCCATGTAGCCAACTGCAGTTCGAGTCCCAGACCCAGTGGCTTAAACTCATACCGGGCACATGTGCATGTGTGCCCAAGATCCCAAGAGGAGAATGGAGGAGAAGGGATTGCAACCATCCTCCCCTGGGTAGTGATTTCTCGCTTTCTATCTCTCTGTCTCTCTCTGTCTTTCTGGCGAGTGTAGGCGCCCTATAGCAAAAACCTCTCCAAAAAAAAAAAAAAGAAAAGAAAACTGCTGAGCATATCAGCTGCTAAGGGTTTGACAGATGTTCTGTGACAACACCTTAATGAGCAGATGAAAATCTGATCCCCAAACATTTGCTTAAAAATCTGTACAGGCTGATTAATTTTTTAATGATTGCCTGGAGGGTAGTCTGGCAGTTCAGCTGAAACCCACTGGAAATGCAGTCCTGACCACGTGACCTGCTTGGTTGGACTTGTACTGAAAGGTGTTTTGTATTTTGGCTTGAGGTAGCGTTCCTGATGGGAGGTGTGGTCTCAGCTGCGTGCACTGAATGTTTTCCTCTAGGGTGTCCTCGGGTTTTCCATGTGACCTAAAGACCACAACTTTCACTCTGTGCTGTGAGTGCTGTCTGGCTGCAGTGAGCATCCAAGTGGAATGCATGCTCTCAACTGACCGGAATATGTGCCAAAATTACCAACTGAGATAATTTTGAGATAAAAGGAATGCCCAGGAGACACAGACACCAGTTAAAAAGAAAACTAAAAAAAAAAAAAAGGCATGCTTGCTTTGGGCTTTATGCAGGATTACTTTTTGAGTTTATAGATATTATTGGTGTCTGCTGGGCTGAAAGGAGTGACTTCTAGAGATTCTTCCTAGGGCAGTTTTTCTGAAAGCAGTTTATGTTTTAATGTGTGCAGAACCCTGTTTAAGGCATAGTAGTGGGGGGAAGCGGTTTACACAGATTAGGGGACAAGAAAGAGAAAAGGATAGGAAAGAGCTAACGAAAGGGACACCTTTTATTCCCAATTCATAAAAAGCATAAAAATGAGGATTGGGTAATTTGTTTATCTAACAGTTAATCCTTCCATGACAAAAGGATGGAAACCTAAAGGGGGGATGGAAGTAGAAAATTATATTAAACATATAAGGTTTTAATCTCATTTCTTCTAAAATAAAACATGAGAGGTGATTTTTTTAAAACTCTTTCAACTTGATGTCTCTCAGGATGGAGCCACTGCCCTCTTCCTAGCTGCCCAAGGTGGCTACTTGGATGTTATTCGATTATTGCTGTCTTCGGGAGCAAAAGTCAACCAGCCACGGCAGGTAATGTCCATGGCCGATGTTTGTCTAACTACATGGAGCACATAGCAGGAAGGGCCAGGTGTCCCCTAGTAGCACATACCTAAGATAACTAGTCAGCTCTTGGCGTGCTTTAAACCCTCTTGCCTCTATGATGAAAAGTTAATCTTTGATGAAGTCAAGTTGACATCACAATTCAGTGCTTTGAAAACTTGAGTGTTTGGTGTCTGAGGTCAAGTACACACTCTGCCACCTCCTGTTCAAATAAATTACAGCTGCCCAGAGCTACAGAACATAGACTAGCCTGGGGCAGGGGTAAATAGAGACAGACCCAGCAGGTCTATCTGCTCCCAGCTGCCTTATCACCTACCCACCACTTCTTCCACTAAGCCAAAGACAAGCCCATGCTGCTGGAATCGTTTTCTTCACCTTCAGTTGTCACAGTGATAATGCTATTTAGATTTCATTTATCAACAGCAGGCTAACATCTGGCAAATCAATTAACTGAGAGAAAGGAAGAAAAATGCAAGATAATATGGGTAGCACTTCATAATCAGTAAAGAGCCAAATGCAAGGCATTAGAAATAGCTTCTATTATATATTGTTAAAAGAAAAATTAAACAGCCAATTTAATAGAATAGAGCTTTAATTGACCAAATCTTAACGCGATTTAAATCAGGCAGTTGTCCCCGGACTTCCAGATAATTCTGGCTAGCCTCACGGTCAACTTGATAGTTAAGTTCCAGAAAAGGGAAAATGACATACAAAAATGAAAGTGAAGGAATGAGGTAGAGAAACAATTGGATTGGTCACGGGTAGATGGTAAAGGTGGGTTTTCTGTGATTGACTGAAGTGTGGCTAGTGTGATTGGCTATAACTTAGCAAACAGCTCAGGAAAACAGCCTAACATGTACGATTTCGATTTATCCATAGGAATCCAAGTGTGGGAGTTCAGCAGCCATTTTAGGCCAAAATATTTTAATTTAACAATATGTACTATTTATGCCTGGTTAATTTGTCTTTAACAAGACATTTTAGCTTAAGGAAACATTAGTGTAAAGTTAGTTTAGGGGAAAAGTCAAGGTGATTTCTTGCTAATAAACCCAGGCAGGTTTCCACAGTGATATGATGTGATTTGGGAATGCTTACATGTTCAACTAATGAATATCTGGCTATGAGAATCTAAAGAATGAATCTGAGCCTTTGGCCATAATCTTCTTCAGTCTTCAGAAGCCTAAGCACATAAGGAACCCAAGGAAAGAAATGTGAGTCTTTGGGCAAAGTGGGTTTGAGACCAGGAATCTTGAGTTCCAGATCCAGCTTTGCCCTAACTAGAGAGGTACAGGTTTTGTTTGTTTGTTTGTTTTGCTTTTGGAGAGATTTTTGCTATAGATGTGCGTGCCAGAGAGCTGAGAGTGATAGAAAGAGAGAAATCACCACCAGTGGGGATGACCACACTGTAATCCCTTCTCCTCCAGTCTCTTCTCAGGATTTTGGGCACGCACACACACACACACACACAGCATGATTTTCAAGCTGCTGGGTCCAAGACTCAAACCTCAGTCAACCATGTGGTTTAAGTCCAGTGCCTTAACCACTATGCCACCTGCTGGCTCCAAAAGAGGTGCAGTTTTAAACAAGTAAATCAACCTCTTTGGACCTCTCTTTTGTCACTGAAAATTAGGAGGCTGAGCAGGATGAGCTTGATCTCTTCAAGCTCCCAAATTTTTGGTTAATTGCTTTATTCAACATTCAGTCAGTATTTCTTGAACACTTATTATGTGCCAGATACTACTATCAGTGTAAGATTATATTTTAGAATTTTAAAGCTCTTCTGAAGTTTAGGTGACCCTACAGTACTCCCAGGAAAGGAAGCAGTTTAGAAGAAAAAATTGTACTTCCATGCATACCAGAGTTGCTCTTTGAGGACTGGAGTTTAATATTTTCTGACTGGTCCTTCTTGTTTTAAAATTGCTGGTTGATTCTGAATCAGAGGCTTGATTTTACCAAATTAATCAAAGGAATTGGTTAGTTTTAGATTAATAAGTTTGACTTGGAGGCCATTGTGAAGGTTCTGCTGTGAATTTAGAAATGAAAGATTATCAAGATTATCAAGTCTCTATCAATATATCATTCTGAGATAAATTTTTTTGAGAGGTTTTGCTATAGGGTTCATTCACTCATCAAAAACACAGAGAGACAGAAAGCAAGAAATCACCCCCCAGGGGGAATGGCCACACCACAATCCCTTCTCTCCATTCTCCTCTCAGGATCTTGGGCACACATGCACATGCACCCAGTGTGAGTTTAAGCCACTGGGTCCAGGACTTGAACCACGGTCGAGTAAATGGGAGTCCAGCAACATAGCCATTAGGTCAACTGCTGGTCCCAATAATTATGACATCTTGACAAACCTGTTTGTAAAAAAGTTTTAGTATTCATATGCCTAAAGGACTGCTTAGGAAAAAAAGTTGATATAAGAGATTCTATTAGGTCATCGGGAAAGTCATGATGTATTTTTCTGTGTTTTTCTATGCAAAAATGCATCATGACTTTCCCGACAACCCAGTAGTTCAAAAGTTGCATAGGTGGGGAACCAGCAGTTAGCATAATGGCTATGTCGCTGGACTCCCACGTAGTCGACCGCAGTTCACGTCCCAGACCCAGTGGCTTAAAACTCATGCCGGGCACGTGTGCATGCGTGCCCAAGATCCCAAGAGGAGAATGGAGGAGAAGGGATTGCGGCGTGACCATCCCCCCTGGGGAGTGATTTCTTGCTTTCTGTCTATATGTCTCTCTCTGTCTGTCTGGCGAGCGCACGCTCCCTATAGTGAAAAACCTCTCAAAGAAAAAAAAAAAAAGTTGCATAGGTTGTGTCCACTTAAACCTCAGTGAGTCACGTGATGACGTTGAAGCCAAGTTAAAGAGTAAACCAACCTTGCAGCAGTAACCACAACACCTACCAGGTGTTTTCATTACTCATGATAGGATAACTTGGGCCAAGGGAAACACCTATTCAGTGAGTGTGGGGACCCACCCTCTGGTCACAGAGCAAGTAATATACCCTTCCAAAGACTGCAGCCTATGCAATTGTTTTGAATTGTAAGAGCCCGGCTTTGAAAAGATTGTTATGAAGGAAAGGGATATTTTATAAAACGAGAATTGCTTTAAGAAAGAATGCAATGGAGTTTTTCCTATTAATAGGATATACTTACCCCCATTGCATCCTCAAATAACAGTCATTTTTACTTCCTGTGATGCCCTTGTAACAAGAGGCTGTTATCTAGCTGGGTTGGACTAGCCCAGATCCTGTCTTCATTGAAAGTATAACCTCTGCTTAGTTCTGGTCCAGGAAAACAAATAGTGCCTAAATATGACAAAAGTAATACCAATCTCAGCTGACTTTGTCACAAGTTATAAGGAGGTTAAAAACATTAATTTAAAATTTACATTAAAATGAGCTGCTCATGGTAGAATATTATATATGCAGGGGATCTGGAAACCAGTGCTTTAATCTGAAACCTCAGGGGACACACTGAGTCACAGCCAAAAAATTCTTGAACTTACAAAATAAGGACAAGAATATCTACCTGGTCTAATTTCCTAATATTCTAGTTAAATATGATTTATCATTTTTGCATTGTCATTCTATAGAGTCCTGACATTTTACGGTATGCTGTGGCAGGATGATGATAAAGTTGCATTGAAATTACTCAGCTGACATTTGGTCTGAGCTTCAGGGAGTCTGAACTATATTAGGCATGCCTTTTCTTTGTAACTCTATCACTAGGAACTAAGTGAAGACCTTTTTTAAAATTGGGCTTTTGTGATGAGGAATCATAACCACAAAGTAAAGCCATAGGTAGACAGAGGGAACACTAAGTTCTTAATTTGAGACTTGAAAATTTCCTTCCACTTTGTCCTATGTTTTAGGGTTTTTTTTGTTCTTTGTTTTTTGGTTTTTGTTGTTTTTTTTTTTTTAGAGGTTTTTGCCAATAGGGCACATGTGCTCTCCAGAAAGAGAGAGAGAGAGACAGAGAGACAGAAAGCAAGAAATCACCCCCTCCCCCACAGGAGGATGGCCACGCCACAATCCCTGCTCTTCCATTCTCTCAGGATCTTGGGCACATACACACACACACCCGGCCTGAGTTTAAGCCACTGGGTCCGGGACTCGAATCGTGGTCAGCTACGTGGGAGTCCTGTGACATAGCCATTACACCAACTGCTGGTCCCATCTATGGTTTAGTTATTTTGTCTAAAAAAAATCATAACAGCCAAAATAAGACCATATAAGATTAGTCTCTAGGGCCAGCCCCATAGCCCAGTGGTTAAAGGAACTGGATCCCACGTAGCGAACAGTGTTTTGAATCCTGGCTCTAGTGTCTTGAAAAACATTCTGAGCTCTTGTGCGTGTGTGCCCAGAATCCCAACAGGATAGAGAAATGGAGGAAAGGGGACTGCAATGGGACCATGCCCCACTGAAGAAGTGCTTTATCCCCCTCCTCCCCATCTCTGTGTCTCTTGTGAGCACGGGCACCCTCTGGCAAGGGAGAAAATTCAAAATTAGTCTCTAATACAGGTCATGTCATACACCCCATCTCATGCTGTGACCTGGCTATAAAAAGTACTAGAGGATTCTTGGCTATGTCATCTCAAATAGATTGTAGGAATAACGGAGTTGGAAGGAACTGCTGAGGTCGCATATTTAACCATCTATCCAGTACTTGAATCCTATCTATAGTAATCCATCACTCCAGTTAACTCATTACTATAAGATCAGTTTAGCCAGCCCTTACCATAATTTCTTTCTTACATTTACCCCAATTCTCCATGTAGTTTAACCCATCAGTCCTTTTAATCACTTGGTCTGTGAAAAGCCTAAACCCCATTCTACTTGGTATACACACAAACAGTAAAAGATAGTTATTCTTTAAGCTAAATATGCTATTTATTTTATTTTTGAAAAAGTGCTCTAGAGGTTATAACTTCCACTTCACAGTGAGTTAACTTATTTAATCTATTTTAAAACCACATTTTTGTCAAGAAGTATTTAAAAACTTATTAAAACATTTAAACTGTTTTTCCCATTCTGATTCCCTCTAAAATGCTACAAAAAAGGAGCTAAAATGACTTAATTCCCATCATTTTTGTGATGAAAATGAAGGCTTGGACCATGACAATCAAAGGGAAAAAAAATAAGATAAAACAGAAATTGAGGAGTACAAAAGGAGAAGACCTCTCCTCATTCACAAACTAGATAACTGACCGATAATTGGATGTGACAATAATGTGCATATTCCCATGCAACGCCTGGGTTCAGAAATCAGATTTGAAGACGTAATCATCAGTAATGCGATAGCAGTGGACCCAGTCATTCCTACCTGCTCATCTTCAGTGATCTCTAAGTCACTGGGAAAACCAAACTAAATAAAGCATATGGAAGTGCTTTGTGAACAAAAGTACAAATTAAAGTGCTTATTGTTCTTTCAGATAAATAATATTCAGTTCCAACTAATATTTTCTAGGTATCTGTGAGCCAATCCTCATGCTCACGATCTTCATATATGTTTTCATATATGTTTCATATATGTCTCATGTATGTTTTCTCATTCGATCATTTCTCTGTGAGGCTAATAGTTTTGCAGAAGAGGATTCTGAGACTGAGAGGGACTTGCCCTGTCAGGCACTGGTGACTGCTTTTTCTACCTACCATGACTATCTCAGTTGAGATGATATATTTCAGTTATTCTTATTGTTATAAATAGATAATATCAATAATTGTTTCCAAAATAGCACCTCTCAGCACGTTTCCACATATTAGTACTAATTCATACAATTTTACTAATAATAGCCAGGCCCTTGAAAGCACAAAGAACAGGCAGCCCACATCGCCTGCATGCCTCTGGCCCCCTTTCCCTGCCTGCCCTCTGGTGGAGACGCGGGCAAAGAACAGCAGGGACCCATAGCAGGCAAGGAGGCAGCGATGCATACCAGCTGAGTGCCAAAAAACCTGCCATGCCTTAGGCCTTTGTGGGGCCCATTCTCCCTCTCCAGCCTCTCAGGGTCTCACCCACACCCCTGCTGCTATAGCAGCTGGATTTTCCACCTTGCCCGAACATGCCAGGCCTGTCTAAGCCACTTTGTAACTGCTCTTCCTGCTACCTGGAATGACGGTCCCCCTCTCTCCCGCTTGGCAAAAGTCTGGTCCACCAAGACTCGTCTTCAAAACCCAACTCAGATAGTACCCCATCTGTGAGACCGATCTTGCAACCCCCTCACAATAGGGGGCTCTGCCCCTGGTTCATTCTGTGCATTTTTTTCATCCATTCCTGTAACACTGCAATCATACTGAAATGTACTGCCTCTTCTCCACTTATTTTTAGTACTCTGAGACTTACAAGATGTTTAATAATTGTTGGTTGCTTGAATGAATGAATAATGAGTGAATGGCTAAATCCCAAATTGAGAAAATCAAGTAAAGAATATGGAAGTGCTTTATAGTTGGTTTCTTTTTCTTTTTTTTTTTTTTTAAGGTTTTTGCTATAGGGTGCCTGTGCTCGCCAGGAAGACAGAGAGAGACACAGAGACAGAAAGCGAGAAATCACCCCCCAGGGGGGATGGCCACGCCGCAATCCCTTTTCCTCCTTTCTCCTCTCGGGATCTTGGGCATGCATCCACATGTGCCCTGAGTAATTTTTAAGCCACCAGGTCCTGGACTCAAACCGCAGTCGACTACATGGGAGTTCAGCAACATAGCCATTAGCATAGCTAACTGCTAGTCCCTGGAAGTGCTTTATAAAGTACAAATTAAGGTTTTTTAACATAGCAAATGATAACTAGTATTCAGATTCAAGAAAGTTTCCAAGAGGCCCCCAGAAAAAGTATGAAGTAGATAAAAGTCCCTTCAACTTTCCTCCATCCTTTGGTTCAGCACTTCTTCCCCATTTCTCCCGAGACAGAGGTCCAGGATCTTCTGACTGCCTTCCAGCATCCCCATATCTTTCGGGGCTCCTGATTTGCAGTGTCCCGCCACCCCACACAAACACCTGTGTGTTCCACTCCTATGCAGGACAGTAATCCTGCACCTGCTTTAGCTCATAGACTGGGGTCCAAACTACACACTACAGCAGAGAATGTAACTATGTATTCTATAACTGAGTCCTCTTGTTTTTCAGCTCCTTTTGCACTGATGGTATTTTAGTCTTATCTGGCTAAAACAATCTCTTGGGGCATAGTACTGTAATTACCTCAGAGGTTAAGTTGGGCCAATTGTGAATCCTGCTTTCTCCTCCTGCCCTTTTCTCCAAAGTGACCTAAGTTCTCAGAGATGAGACTTACTCTAGTATTGGGATGGGGGTGGAAAGATGCATCTTCTGTGTCTGGGGCAGAGTACTAAAAATAAGTAGAGGGGAAGAGACGTGGAAAGTTCAGTATGGTTGCACTACTACGATACAGGATAGACAGAAATGCCCAAGACTCATGTCCTTGTGCTGGCCTCTCTGCTCCCTGAATATCATACACTGGTATCCCAGAGATGCAGCTTGTCTCGCCATCATGCTGGCCCTACCATGGTCTCCAGTCATGACATCATGACACCTTTTTTCTGTCGCCTTTTCTTCTCAACCCCAGGCTTTCTCCTGCCCGCTGTTTCCCCAACACCTCCAGTTTCTCACAGATAGAGAGGGACTCTTAGATGCCCAGCAAGTGTTTGTGTGCCATAGGGAATGGGGCATGTCAGTGGCCCAGACAACTTCCAGGGCCAGTTATCTCTCACTCATCAGCCAAGAACAGAGATTATTTAAGAGTCTTGCAGTTTTCCCATGCTACTTCCCAGAAAAGGGAGGAAGTCTTTAGGTATCTGGAATTCTCTGTGATTTCTCTGGGTGTTTCTACCACGCCTAGCGTACCTCCTCCCCTCCTTCTTACATACACACCCAGTGTCATCTCGGGGGAGGACAATGAGACCTCCACCTATCTAGTTCCTGCCTGTGCTAGGTTTTTCCATTTTTTCCATCCCATCTTGTAGGGACACCCTACTGTCAAATCCTCCTCCTTACTTAGGATATTTCACCTTTTCTTCTCTAGAGCAATCCATGGCAGCTTCATGACCTGGAGTTCTCAGGAAAAGCGATACTGGAGAATAACACACAGGAAATAGGACCAAAGATGTCGTCCTGCTATAGCTAGTTACTATGCATCATCTCCCAGATAACACACCATCATAAAATTAATCGAAGCTCTCTTATAAATAATAATATGGCCGTAGGTAATTTGGGACACTAGGATAGGCGGTAGGAGAACTGTCTTGGAGCTCGCTCTCTCTAAGACCCTGCCTCAAAGGAGACTCCCCTTCTGTGACATGAAGGGTCCCCACTAAGCAGGGCGTGGTAAGTGTGACCCACCAAGAAATTAAAGACAGGGACAAGGTGGTGGGGGGGGGGGATGAAGACCGGCAGGCTCTCCTCTAGGCTTTGTCCAGGTTGGTTCTGTGGCAGTGTACAACTCAAAGACTCCCTGCACATTCAAAGCAAGGTTCCCACGCTGGCTACCGCACTCTGTGATGAAAGACCCAGTCTTTAAATGTGTATTTTTGCGAGCCCACATTTGGGAATTGGCAATTGCCCAGGTAGTAGGTAGTCCAGGCACTGCAAAATGCATCTGTGTCAACGGGGTAAAAACCCCCTCCACTTTTGGGAACCAGCAGTTAGCGTAATGGCTATGTCGCTGGACTCCCACGTAGTCGACCGCGGTTCACGTCGCGGACCTGGTGGCTTAAAACTCACGCCGGGCGCGTGTGCGTGCGTGCCCAAGATCCCGAGAGGAGAATGGAGGAGAAGGGATTGCGGCGTGACCATCCCCCCTGGGGGGTGATTTCTCGCTTTCTGTCTCTATGTCTCTCTCTGTCTGTCTGGCGAGCGCACGCGCCCTACAGTGAAAATCTCTCAAAAAAAAAAAAAAAAATCCACTTTTCTCCATGCCTACTGGATGTGTAAATCCGAATCTGCCTTTGATGTAGAGTTCCCAGCGTCCCAGTCACTGCCGTCGCTTTCCTTGCAGGACGGCACGGCGCCCCTGTGGATCGCGTCCCAGATGGGCCACAGCGAGGTGGTGCGCGTGATGCTGCTGCGCGGAGCCGACCGCGACGCTGCGCGAAATGTAAGTGCCCGAGAGATGCAGTGGTCACCTGGTGAAGCCACCAAATCCTTCGGTTCGCATGTGCAGGGTAAACTGGACCTCGATTTAGCCTACAGCTAACCGGGGGTTCCTCCCAACTTCTGCCTGCTCTTGAGTAGGAAAACAGTCAAGATCGGAGTCAGCTCAAACTTAGCAGGTGCTGCTCAGTCTCTCTCGTCCATGTGAGATGGTTTCTGGGCCAGCTGGACAGGGCGGGGTCTTAGCCTCAGGCCGTGGGGGCAGTAGGAGACCCAAAGCTCAGGCTGTCCTGGGGGTGTTGGGGAGAGGGGAGCTCTCGTGATGCGCCCCCTGCTGGCCACCGGGCGGCAGTACGGCTACTGTTAGGTAGGCTCTGGGCAAGTTGTACCCTCCCACTGCTCCTCCTCACCCCTTCTCTCTGGACCTGCGTGCAGACCCTTCCACCACATGTCTGATAGGCCTGCTGTCGCCACTAGCCTCTGCTGGTGTCCCCAGTGTTCTGCCTAGGTGCGCCCACAGCAGGTCTTTGTATTACAGGAACTAAGGGCAGTCCGGGGAGTACCTGACCACATCAGGCTGTTGGCCCCTGAGTCTGCCTGTGTCTCGCCGCTTCGCCCTTACGTGACCCTTGTCCTTGTGATCCACCTTCTGCTGTCCAAGTCTAACCCCGGAACGGGAAATCAGAAGACACACTCCTGACTAATCACTGTCTTCTCTGCTCCTTTTCCTCTTCCCTCTCTGATACCAGAAAAGGACTTTCCTCTAATCCCATCCATCTTCCTTCCTGAGTCCAGATACACCCTAATGGCAGTCTCCTTGAGGGCAGAAGTGAGTGAGCTAAATCCTCCAAACTAGCAACTGATATGTTAAAGAGGGGAACTCTCTTAAGCCAAAAAATGATGACAAAAGCTAAATAGCTGAGCTTTTTTTTTTTTTTTTTAAGTTTTGTTTTTGTTTTTGCTATAGGGAGCATGCACTCGCCAGAGAGGGGTAAAGTAAGAAATCACTCTCCAGGAGGGATGGCCACTCTTCAATCCCTTCTCTTCCATTCTCCTCTCAGTATTTTGGGCTCGTTGTATACACGCCCAGTATGATTTTCAAGCTACCAGTCTGGGTCCAAGACCCAGTGGGCCATGTGGGAATCCAGTAACTTAACCTCCATAAGATCTGCTGGGCTTCCGAGTATTAATCTTTTTTTTTTTAGAGGTTTTTGCTATAGGGCACGTGTGCTCACCAGACAGAGAGAGACATAGAGACAGAAAGCGAGAAATCACCCCCAGGGGGGATGGTCATGCTGCAATCCCTTCTCCTCCATTCTCCTCTTGGGATCTTGGGCACACACGCACACGCGCCCGGCATGAGTTTTAAGCCACCGGGTCCAGGACGCGAACCACGGTCGACTACGTGGGAGTCCAGTGACATAGCCATTACGCTAACCGCTGGTTCCCACCAAGTATTAATTTTTGAACCTGTCTGCATTCTTTTTTAGAAGATTTTTATCTATCCCTCCTATCCTTCCCTGCCCAAAGTAAGCTTCCTTCCCTCTACTCCTCACCCCCCACATACACACACAGGCAAATAGATACCTAGGGCAGTCTAGCACAAGGTTATATGAATTTTTAAAATCATAAATACAGTTTTATGATAAATCATTAAGACAGTTAAAAATTTCTGCTGAGTCATGAAGAGTAGAGAGTGACTCTTTGATCCATCAACGCTCTAAAAACATGCTCTTAAAATTCCCCTTATCCCTCACCCAGTGTTCCCTCACCAGGGACTGGAGGAGCACAGAGTCCCAAGTGATAGGAAGCTCAGATATAAACAGTCACATTTTATCTGATATTCTTTTATACAGAATTAACTGCCTACAATGCACTAAAATGCTCCTAGAGTAAGAGACATTGCTGATCTGTGCTTATTTTACACATTTCACCAGTTTCTGACAGTCATACTCCCAGTTCTCCACTGACGTGTAATTTTCAGCCAACTCAGGCATATGTTAATAATCAACTCTTTTTTTTTATCTTTCTGATAAGGACGGTACAACTGCATTATTGAAAGCAGCCAACAAAGGGTATAATGACGTTATTGAGGAGTTGCTTAAATTCTCACCCACTCTCGGTATTTTGAAGGTAAGACCTAAACAGAAATTGTACCAATCTGTAAAAGAGAAATTAGAAAATCCAAAGCCCATTCTTGGGGACAGCAGTGGAACTGGGGTACAATTAACCTGATAGGTTGTCCATCTAGTTGTATTGGTTGTACTGTATACCAGGTCATAGCCTTGCCTTGAAAGAACACACCGATGCTGAAGCTTCTTGATGCTGAAGATCTATTGGCATTGGTAGAAATAAGAAAGTGAGCCAGATTCCATCACCACTTAGTTTTACACACACACATACACACACAAATGTGGTCATAACTTTACTAAATTGGAAAGTAAAACAAATTGCTCTTATTTGGAGTATTTGTGAAGTCATGGAAGAACAGACACTAGGTTGCTTTTTTTTTAGGTTTTTGCTATAGGGTGCATGTGCTCACCAGAAAGACAGAGAGAGACAGAGAGACAAAAAGCAAGAAATCATCCCCCAGGGAGGATGGCCATGCCACAATCCCTTCTCCTCCATTCTCCTCTTGGGATCTTGGGCACGCACACACACGCACCTGGCGTGA